GAGGGGTCCACAGGGAACTTTCAGGGCTATGACTCTTTTTGATATGTGGTATTGGATCCACGCAGTTTACATTATCCAACAATGTACAACCCCCAAAGTGGCCCCTGGTGAGAATTGCAAGCCTTGATGATACTGCTCTGTTGACCATGGTTCACACTGGGTGGTGGTGGCAGAGGCAGATTGATCTCTGTGAGTTTGAGGCCAGCCTGGACTACAGAGCTAAGCCCGGACTATAGAACAAGTGCCAGGATGCCCAGGCAGGGCTACACAAAGAAACTGTGACAAATGAACCTCTTTGGTGCCAGAGTGTTTTGTTTACTTTCTTTGTTGGTTTGTTTTTTTGGGACAGGGTTTCTCTGTGTAACAACCCTGGCTGTCCTGGAACTCGCTTTGTAGACCAGGTTGGCCTTGAACTCAGAGATCCGCCTGCCTCTGCCTCCCAAGTGCTGGGATTAAAGGCGTGTGCCACCACTGCCCGGCAGTTTTGTTTACTCTTAAGGGTCTCATCATGTAGCCCTTTGGGCTTGAAGCTTGCTTGCACTCTTCCTACTTCTGACTCCCAAAAGCTAAGGTATAAGTGTGTTACTAGTGCCCCCCCCACACACACACTCTTTTTGTTGCTCTTCCTTTCCAGAAAGTGTTCCTCTGTGTAGCTCTGACTCACTTTGTCCATCAGGCTGACCTCAAACTCAGAGATCTGCCTGCTTCTGTTTCCTAAGTGCTGAGATCTGGCTGCTTCCTCCCACCTTTTTTAATAGCTGGGCAGTGTCTGCACATGCCTTCAATCTCAGAACCCAGGAGGCAGAGGCAGGCAAATCTCTGAGTTCGAGGCCAGCCTGATCTACAGAGTGAACTCCAGGACAGTCAGGGCTGCATAGAGAAACCCTGTCTGGAGAAAAAGAAGTGTGTTGTTTGTTTCTGTGTATACTTGTGTGCCTGTGGGAACATGACTGCAGTGCTTGCAGAGGCTAGAAGGCATCAGCTCCCCTGGAGCTGGAGTTACAGGCGGTTGAGAGCCACCCTGTGTGGGTGTGGGAACGGAACTGAGGCCCTCTGCGAGAGCAGTATGCTCTCTTAACCCCAGTTCCAATACCTCCCTCCTACTCCCCACTTCTTAACAAAAGGGGGTTCTGGGTGGAGGGAGTATGTGAGGGCATTGGGGAACTGAATGCCATGCTTTCGCTTCAGTTTTTCTGTAAACTGAAAACGTCTCTTAAAAAAAAAAAAGTCTACTAACCGCTTTTAAAGTCTCGTGTGGAGGGCTGGGGGTGGAGAGCTCATTTAACCGAGTGCCAGCCTGGCATGTGTGAAGCCCTGAGTTCCATTCTTAGCACTGCAAAAAACCAGGCATGGTGCCGCACACCCGCATACCGGAACTCCAGAAACACTGTCAGGAAGAGCCGAAGTTCAAGGCTATACTAAGCGATGTAACAAATTCTCCAGGCCAGCCTGGGCTGCATAAGACCTTGTCTCAAAGATTCAAAGCAAGAACTCCAAAGCTCAAAACCTAATCCCTCCCCTCAAAATACAAGCAGAGCTGGACTTGGTGGTCTCTGATTTCAATCTCTGCTTTTGAGAGGCTAAGGCAAGAAGACTGCTGAGGGTTCCAGGCCAACATGGGCTATATAGTGAGTTCAAAGGCAGCCTGAGCTATATACTAGGTCTCCAAAAACCAAACCAAACCAAAACATTCCCAATAACAACAACAAAACCCACAAGATTTTTACTCAAGAGCTAGTTCATAACAGTTTGCTAGGTTTGTAATTTGATTTGTTTGTTGGTTTGGTTTTTGAGACAGGGTTTCTCTGTGTAGCCCTGGCTCTCCTGAATCTCGCTCTGTTCCAGGCTGGCCTCGAACTCACAGAGATCCACCTGCCTCTGTCTCCTGTAATTTGATTTTAAGGATTGTCTTTTCAGTTTGGGTTTCAGTGCTGGGTTGAACCATGCTGGACAAGTGTTCTAGCACTAAGGTCCCTGACTCCAGGGATGAAGCTTTTGCAAGCCTGTTTTCATCATTCTCCACCCGTAACTCCTCCTCCCCATTCCCCTACAACCTCTAAGGCCTGCTTTTTCCACTTGCTCTAACCCATCTCTACCTCCTGCTTCCAACATGAATAGTCTGTTTTCTCCCATCCAAAAATGCAACCTTGGGGGACTAAGAGGATTCCCATCTTTGCTTCGGGTGCTGGGCTGCCCTTTCCGACAGTACTCTGAATCCGTTCCCCCCCTGTCCTGGCTTCTCCAGGATCTAGGACTCTGGTCTCCTTTACCTGTCAGTCGTCCACTGGCCCCTCCTAGGCTTCTCAAGACACCCACAGCCCCTTCCCAAGAAGAGTGCTCCAGGGTCTTGGTCTAGGCTGGGCGCCAGTATGAACTGAGGCTGGAGAGGCCTCACAGTGCTATTCCCTCCGCCTGTCCTGAACTGCCAAACCCTGTTCGCTGCCCCTGGTCCCAGATGGAGGTGTCCAATTCGCTACCTGGTAGCTACTCCCCTCCCTGCCCAGCAGGCTGAGGGGCGCCAACGCGGCGGTGGGGACGGGAGGTGGCCGGACGACAGCTGGGGGGGCGGCCCTGACCTTCCCGCAATCGATGGGGCGCGGCCGGCCGCGCGGAGCCAGGGCGGTGCTGGAGCCCCCCGCCTGCCGCCGGGCCAGCTATAAAGCAGGGGCGCGGGGCTCAGGCTGCAGTTGCAGCGCTCAGCACACACGGAGCCCGACCATGCCCACCCCGCCGCTACTGCTGCTGCTGCTGCTTGCTGGCTCGACCGCACTCCCTGCGCCCCCGAGGTGAGCTGGGTCAAGGGGGATCCACTACACCACGGCCACGCCCACAGGCCCACACTGTCGTACTCTGACCCTCCTCGCCCCGCCCCTCCCCAGGATCCCAAGACACTCAGACGGGACGTTCACCAGCGAGCTCAGTCGCCTGCAGGACAGCGCCAGGCTGCAGCGCCTGCTGCAGGGTCTTGTGGGGAAGCGCAGGTGAGCAGGTGTAGGTAGAACTCTCCAGACTTGCTGGTATGGGACAGGCCTGGTATGGTCCCCTATCAGCAACCCGCTGCATCCCAGTACTACCACTAATTATAATTTGGGTTGGGTGTGGGGGCCAGTGAGCAGGACACAGAAAATATCCCAGAGAAGAGCCTGACCCGGTCCAAGCCCTCAGAGGACCAGCTCTGCTTGCTGTGGTCGAATACTCAGGCCCTAGAGAACTGGTGAGCACTCCATCCTCAGCCGGACTCCTAGGCTACCCTTCCTGTTCCCTAGCCATGTGGGTACACACATGCATTCTGATGGTCAGTCCTAGTCCCCTAACCACCTATCTCCCCCCACAGGCTGCTCCCCAGGCTTCCCCTGGATGGGTCCTGGTCTCCCTGGCTGCCTCCTGGACCAAAGCCTGCTGTCGATGTTTCAGAGTGGACTGAAGCAACCAGGCAGCCCCGATGAGGGAGGAAGGGGAGTCTCCAGGAGCTGGATGGAGCTAGGGTTTGGTTGTCCTTGGTATCAATAAAGAAGGAATTTAGACCCTAGTCTTTTAGCTTGTGGTGTGTGATGTCTGATTAAAAAAAAAAAAAAAAAAAAACAAAACCCAAGATAGCCCTTGCTCAGTAAGCCTGGCAGGTGTGGACAGGTCCATCCGCCCTCATTCAATGGCTAGGACCACACCCAGTTGCTCTTTGAACCTGGGAGGTCAGCTAGGATATTTCTTCCTTATCTCTGGCATCGACTGGACTTCTCTTTTCCTAGTTGACTGCCCCCCCCCCCCAGTGTCCCAGCCTGCCCTGTGGTCCACTTAGCAACATTTCCAGGGATCAGAGATCCCAGCCCTTGTCCAGCCATGTGGTCAGGGTACATGGAATGGTGGGGAGGCACAGGCATGCGAGGAAGGACCTGCGTACAGCCTGGCTCTACATGTCTGTGTGGTCTTGGCACAACCCTGAAGCCTGGACAGTGATGTCATCTCCCAGTAGACAGCTGTGGGACCACTGGAAGGGTCATGAGACAAAGTGTTCAGTCCTGACAGAGGTCTGGAGCCTCAGGAAGGTTCCCAGGCATCCAGAGCAGCCCTGTAGAGGCCCAGAGTAGTGAGGGCCCTTTCAACACAGCCCCGCTCACCACCCTCCTGGCTCTACCTCGAGGCCTCTCCCCAGCTCTGAGGGCTTGTAGGGGAGAGGGGAGGAAGCCAGAAAGGCTGGAGCAGGTCTAATGGAGGCCTGGGCTGTGTGTTCACCAGGATTCCTGTCTTCCATCAGATACTGCTCCCGCCCACCCCCCAACACCAGCTCCCAGCTAAGGCAGGAAGGCTTCATTTGCATCCTATTACCAAGTCCCTGCCAGGCCCAGCCAGGCCCTACCCTGGGGGAACTGCTGTATTTCCCAGACAAGTAGGAGCACACTGGGACAGTCTTTTCCTTCGGGAGTGAAACAAAGAAGGGAGGGAACATAATGTGGCTTCAGGAATTTTGCTAAAAGACACTGAAGAGAAAGAGACAAGATCAGGGGTTATCCTGACGTGGGTTACAGTCGACCCAAGACCCAGTGACTCAGCCCACATCCCTGTCCTTGCCCCCAGCTCCCCAGGCCTGCTCCAGCTCCTTCTATCCCTCTTCAGTTCCTCCAGCCCTATTCCAGCTCCCCCAGCCTTCTTCCACTCCCACAGGCCTGCCTTGGCTCCCCAGATCTATGAATGGTTTTAGCTCCTCAGCCCTGACTCGGCCTCCTTAGACCTGCGGCCCCAGCCTTGTCCTAGCTTTACCAGGCCTATTCCCCACGCCCAGTGGTTCTCATGTTTTTTACACCTCATGTGTAGTGTCTATGGGTTGACTCCCCACTTGACTTCCTGGAAGTCCAGGCTGAAATATGACCTCATGTCCCCTCTCAGTGCCGGCCAGCGGGAGCCCCCTTGGTAGAGGCCATCAGTAAAGAGTCATAAAATGAGGCGGTGCCTGGCAGGGGCGAAGGTCGCCAAGGCAGGAACTGTACCAAGCCCTGGAACAAGAAGGCAGCTGGACCCTTCTTCCAGGTGACGGCCGCCACCATGGGGGCTCCGGCCCTCCTGTGGCCTCCGCTGCTATTGCCATTGTTCATAGTGCTGTTTGGCCAACCTCTGGGGACCAAGGCCCAAGGTATGTGCTGGACAGGGGCAGGATGGGTAGGCAGCAGAGCCTGGGTGGAAGGCACCAACTTCTCCTTTGCACCTTTCTAGTCTGCTCGGTGAACCAAACGGTTTTTCAAGTTGTGGAGAACTCGAATATCTCTGAGCCACTGGTGAACATTTCGGTCCCAGGAGACCTGCGGGTGACCCTGGGATCCTCGTCCACTCCTTTCGCATTTAAGATCGTGGACAACCAGCTGTTTCTCAACGTGACTCCAGATTATGAGGTGCAGTCTGTAGGCTGGATGGAATGAGCCCCCTGGGGACATGCATGAGCCCCACTCCCCTATCCTGGAAACGATTCAGGGGAGGAGGGGTTAATGGCTCTATGTCTCCCAGGTAGTGAGGAGTACCTTCAGGCCCAGCACTTGGTTGGTTGGTACTGAGGGGAAGGACCATTTGAGGACAAAGTTGTCAGATGCCCCCTACACCCAGGATTTGCCGCTGGTGACTGACAGGGGCCCTGGAGAGAAGTAGGGGCTCTGCTGGTGGCACTCTCTTAGCCTAGGGCGCTCTATTTCCGATGGGGCAGCTGATTCACCGGGCACTGGCTTCCTCCTCAGGAAACCACATCCCTGGTGGCAGTCCTGGAGTGCAAGAGAGGAGAGGTTCAGGTAAGTCAACCCCATTATCTGACCACCCCTGCCCTCTGTCAGAGGACCTCAGGACCACTCCTCCAGGACCTCACCCCATGGAGTCTGGACACCAGCTCTCTACTGGCCGCTGTACCCACACTTCTTTGAGCCCAGACTCTGCCCTGAGCTCTAGACTCAAACTCAGCTAGCTTAGGGCCATGTATTAAGTTAACACTCTTGAGACTGCAAAGTCCGCCCCTCACCCTTGCCTGGGAGACACCTTCACCCCAGCCTCTCAGCCCACTTTTCTGTCACCCCACCCAAGGTACTCCGTCGGCTGTGCCTCAGAGCCAGACTCTTCCTAGCTTGAGTCCCGTGGGGCTTCCATCAACTCATCTCCTTTCTGACCCTTCCAGCAGATGCACTTAGGCTTTCTTGTCCCTGGCCCCCTCAATCCCTGCTCCACTCAGTGGGTCCCTAGAGAGTGACAACCAGACCCTGCCCAGCCTCACGTAGACACTTCCACATTTTCTTACTGGATCTCAAAGCTAATCTCACAGCTGGGCGGGCGAGGCTAGGGTATGCAAACACTGGCCTAGGGTAGACATTCCTTATGCCTGCTCAGGTCAGCATGGAAACGTCATCTCCTCAGAGGATGCCTAACCCTCCTGCTCTGCCTTGTCCACCTACCTTACCCCATATATCTTCGCCCTTAGCCCTCAGCCTATACCATGTTTCCAGCCTTTTACTAAAGGAAACTTGCGGCTATAACATATAACATATAACTTTAGATATAACAGGCCCCACATACTTTCTGCTCCCCCAAGAGCGACTCTCACACCCTGCACCCCTACCCTGTACCATGACATGTTACCCACACATATCTCAGCTCATGTCTCTAATAGACAATAATTAAAAAAATAAACTTCATTTTTAGGTATGGTTTTGTGGTAGGGTACCTGCCTAGTAATGGTTGAGGCCCTGGGCTCCCACCCTCAACACACAAATGCACATCTCACACACACACACACACACACACACACACACACACACACACACACACACACACACACGGAGACAGACAGACAGATAGACAGACAGACATAGCGACCATGGTCTTGACATCTGTCACTGGAGAAGAGCAGCCTTTCCTCTGTCCTCCAGCACTTGGCTGTGTTCACCTCTCCTTGGGTCCCAGGAAGGTCTCTCCCATGGGATATAGCGGGTTGATTTTTAACTCGAGGCTCCTTTCTCTGCTGTTCTCTTGGGGACCTGTTTTTTTTTTTTGGTTTTTCAAGACAGGGTTTCTCTGTGTAGCTTTGCGCCTTTTCCTGGAACTCACTTGGTAGCCCAGGCTGGCCTCGAACTCACAAAGATCCGCCTGCCTCTGCCTCCCGAGTGCTGGGATTAAAGGCGTGCGCCACCACCGCCCGGCCTGGGGACCTGTTTTTGAGGCTGTGAGACTGCTCAGTTTTCTTCCTTTGATGATGTTTTGCTGGCGCGTCCACAGGCTTGCCCCCTTATTTCTCTTCAGCACACTCACCACACACACACACACACACACACACACACACACACACACACACACGCATGCACGCATGCACGCACGCACGCACGCACGCACGCTGCCACACTCTAAAATGTAGTTTAAGTAGGGTATTTGGTTTTGTTTTTTCTTTTTTGGTGTTTTCGAGACAGGTTTCTCTGTGTAGCTTTGCACCTTTCCTGGATCTCGCTCTGTAGCCCAGGCCGTCCTCAAACTCAGAGATCCACCTGTCTCTGCCTCCCGAGTGCTGGGATGAAAGGCGTGCGCCACCACCGCCCAGCTTTGTTTTGTTTTGTTTTTTTGAGACAAGGTTTCTCCGTGTAGTTTTGGTGCCTATCCTGGATCTTGCTCTGTAGCCCAGGCTAGCCTCGAACTCATAGAGATCCGCCTGTCTCTGCCTCCCGAGTGCTGGGATCAAAGACGTGCGCCACCGCCGCCCAGCTAGTTTTTGTTTATATGTATATATATATATAGTCTGAGTTCCTCCTAGAACAGGAGCCTATAGGTGCTACACTGTTGATGTCACCAATGTCTGTTAAATGAAAGAACAGAAGAGTGACTGAATGAATGAACTGGTAAAGGAGGGAAGAATTAATGATGGGGGCATCAGAGCATAGTTCCTTAGCCAGGGGTTGACTTTGTTGGCTTTTCTGCAGGTGACAGTGTTGAGGTTGTTTGTGGCTGTCCTGGATATCAATGACAATCCCCCAGTGTTTTCCTTTACAATCAAGAGCTTTGATGTAGCAGAGGTAAGTCCAGTGGAGCCAGAGCAGGTGGCTTCTGAGTGAGGAGAAGGAAGGGGGACAGGGAGGTGTCTGGGGGACACCATCAGGGAGATTCATATACAGAAGCCACAGCATGGCTGGATCGACCTCTTCTCCATCCCCAGGACACCAGAGTGGGTACAACCGTCATCCCCGAGGCAGAACTGGAGGCCAAAGACGCTGACAAAGATGATATCCTATATTACACCCTGCAAGAAGTGACCCCGGTCAGTGCTTCCCCTGTCCCCACTCATTATCGACCCCTCCCTCTGATGCCGCCAGGCCTCAGTTCCTCCACCTTCCCGAGTCTCATGTTGTGCCCTCTGCCCCCTTCTCAGGACGCTAGCAGCTTCTTCTCCCTCGTGGGGCCAAACAACCCTGCTCTGCGGCTGCAGCAGGCCCTGGATTTCGACAAGATTCAGAACATGACCTTCAAGCTGCTGGCGCGGGTGAGCAGATCACAGCTACCTGAGTCCTGGATAGTCTAGGCCTGCCCAAGCCATCGTGGGCCTGACCTGTCAGGGCTGGCTGTTACTACAGGATACTTGGGATGAACAGACAGAGCCCAGCCACACGGCCACTGCCACCCTGGTCCTGAACGTGCTTCCGGCGGACCTGCGGACCCCCTGGTTCCTGCCTTGCTCCTTCTCAGATGGCTACTTCTGCATCCAGGCCCAGTACCATGGGGTGGTCCCCACGGGACACATACTGGTAATGTAGAGTAAGAAAGCCCAGAGTCTGACTTGAATCCAGAGCCAAGTCAGAGGAGGTTCAGGGTAGAGATCCAGCAGTGGTCCTGTGCTCCTTGAGTGGCTTAGGCAATTTTGTGATTTTTTGTTTTTTTGGAAACTAATATGAATGAATAATCATTCACTAACTATCCCAGCCTTAGGTGGGGAACATACAGACACAAATCAGCGATGTCGGCGGGGGTGGGAGGACGTCAGGGGCTGGGCTGATGGGACTGCTACATCCTTGCCCAGCTGACAGTCTCCTGAGGCTAGAGAGCCTCCTGGGCAGGTGGGGTCCAGCCAAGGCCACCACAGCCTCCGCTGGGCAGGAGACACACATGGAGGGCGCACGTCTTCCTTCCTAAGTTCTCACTGCCACTGAGCCCCCTCTGTGGTTGCAGCTCTGCCCCAGGCAGGCACCACCCCTGCCCTCATGCTCCAATTCATGTTTCAGGCCTTGAGGGACAACAAAAGAGTAAGAGCTGGGGTCATTCAACCTCACGATATCCCTGTCCCCACAGCCATCCCCCCTCATCTTGAGTCCTGGTCCCATCTATGCTGTGGACGGAGATCAGGGCATTAACCAGCCTATCATCTACAGCATTGTAGGGGGTGAGTGAGGGCTAGCCCCACAGCCTCTGGACCCTACCACAGAGGGACCAGACGCCAAACTCCATCCCAAATTCTCCCAGGAAACACGGATGACACATTTATCATCAACGCAGACTCCGGCAACCTCACGATGGCCAAAAGTATCCCCAGCCCCATGAACTTCACCCTGCTGGTCAGGGTGGGTACCAGTCCTGGATGACAGATGGGTCTCCTGCATTCCCTTGAACCCCAGCTGCAGCCCAGCTCCAGTGAGCCCCATTAGTCACTCTGGTTTCCCCTGACTCCTCAGGCTGATCAGGCTGATATGGCCCGCTACTCAGTGACCCAGGCCATTGTGGAGGCTCGTGATGGAGAACTCCAGTTCTCACAGAGCCTCTACCGTGGCACAGTGGTGCTTGGTGCTGAGGCTGGTACAGAAGTGAAGGACAGGACCTCCCCTTCTGAGATCCTGAGGATCCAGGCTCAATACCCAGGCTTCCCGGTATGCAGTCCCTTCCGACCACCTAGGAACTCTCTAAGTATGCCTGGACTCTGGTTCTCTGTGTGTGGGGGCAGCTTGGGATGGACGATAGGGCACCCAAGCCCAGGTCTCACTGCAGTCTCACCTAGGACCTCAACTCGGCCATCACATATCGAATCACCAACTCCTCAGATTTCAAGATGGACGAGGATGTCATACTGACCACTGTGGCTATGAAGCGTGCAGAAGTCATCTATGTAGAGGTGGAGTGGGGGGAGTAAGGGAATCAAAGGTGCGGGGTGAAGAGGGACCCAAGAGGAACAAGCTCCTTTCCCGACCCAGGTAGAAGCTACCAGTACTGTGACTAAGGACACAGCCACCTCTGTTGTTGAGATCCAAGTGTCAGAGCAGGAGCCCCCCTCCACAGGTGAGCCCCAGGGCCCCCAAGCAGGGGGGCTCCTCCTCTGGGACAGGCATATTTGAGGACAGAGGCAAACCCAAGTTCTGTCCATGCCACCCCCAGAGTCCCCCACACCCCCCGAAGCTGGAGGAACAACTGGGCCTTCAAGTAGCACCACTTTGGAAGCCCCCACGACCTCAGGGACCTCTCAAGGACCGGCTACAACCAGCTCTGGGGGAAGTGCTGGCCCATTCCCACCCTCAGGCACAACTCCAAGTCCCCCTGCCTCTGCCTCCTCCACACCTGGGGGGTCCCCTACTCTTGGAATCAGCACCTCCCCCCAGACAGTCACACCCAGTGGGGGCTCAACACAGACCCCCAAAACAGAGACCTCTCAGCCAGTGGTCCCCATTACAGGAACAAGCACCTCTTCTCAGCCAGCCACACCCAGTGGGGGCCCAACACAGCCCCCCCAGCCAGGAACCTCTCAGCCAGTGGTCCCCATTACAGGAACAAGCACCTCTTCTCAGCCAGCCACACCCAGTGGGGGCTCAACACAGCCCCCCCAACCAGGAACCTCTCAGCCAGTGGTCCCCATTACAGGAACAAGCACCTCTTCTCAGCCAGCCACACCCAGTGGGGGCTCAACACAGACCCCCAAACCAGGAACCTCTCAGCCGACAGCCACTACGTCCATCAGGAGCCCCTCACCCTCAGGTAGTCCAGACGTTGTTTGCTCTGGAGTCACTGTCACCCTCATTCACTCAGACAGGGGTTCCAGGGATGCGCTCTAGGACAGGGTCCACCCAGGCTAACCTGGCCTGACCACACTGGCCACCTCCAAGGAGTCTGTGTCTAGTCCCAGACAGATGGCTCCAGGGGGGCAGAATGGGGTGAGTTGAAGAAGGTATGGGGATACAGAAGCAGATTTGGGAGCCAGTGAGTCCCATAATTCGCAGGATAACCTATATTTAGGGCCAATAATTAGGGAGGTACAAGATAAAAATTAAGATTTTATGGCTATCAGGTTGTGCTAATGTATCCCTTTAATTCCAGCACTAGGGAGGTAGTGAAAGGCAGATCTCTGTGAGTCCAAGGCTAGCCTTGTCCATATAGTGAATTCCAGCCCAGCCACAGCTACACACAGAGAACTTATCTTTAGAAAAATAATTATGAACCAGTGGCAGCAGTGCACACCTTTAATCCCAGCACTTGAGAGGCAGAGACAGGTGGATCCCTGAGTTTGAGGCCACCCTGGTCTACAGAGGGAGTTTTAGGATAGCCAGAGCTATAGAGAGAAACCCTGTCTCAAAAAAAAAAAAAAAAAAAAGAAGAAGAAGAAAAAAAATAATAATTATGGCTGGATATAGTGGTGCATGCCTGTGATCCCATCTAATGGAGAGACTGAGGCAGGAGAATCACTTAAGCCTAGGAATTCAGGGCTAACCTGGGCAACATATAGAGGCAATACTACTGAAAAACAAAACATAACAAAAATACAAAACACACACACACACAAACACACAAAATCAAGATTGGAGAGATGACTCATCATAAAAGTACTTACCTTCCAAGCATGAGGATATGAATTTGGTCCCAGAACCCACATAAACAGCTGAGCGTGGGGGCATGCACTCACAATCCAGTGTTGGGAAGCCAGAGACAGGAATAACCCTGGAGACCCCTGAGCAGACAGTTTAGCCAGCTACATGGCCAGCTCTAGGTCAGTGAGAAGGCCTGGATGGCCAGATGGCCAGCAGATGGAGGGCAGTGGAAGAAGAACACAGACTTCTGCAAGTTGTCCTCTGACTCCAACATGCACCATGACATGCAGCACCAACACAAATACCCACACTACATGAATAAAACATGCACACACACATATATACACATACACACAGTGCACACCACACACACACACACACACACACACACACACACACACACACAAGGTTCCCACCGAAAGGTTTCTGTATCGATCATTGAGCTGTACCCACACATCCCTTCAGGGTGCAGGATCACAAGGGCCAGACACAGTTAGTCTGGATGGCCACCAGAGGCAGTTTTACATGGCGGACTTCTCATGAGTGTTCTCTAAAAACTGTGTCGAGTGTCCCTGAGCCCTGCTTCTGGTCGAGTGCAATATATATTCATAATTGGAGTTGAAGCCACATAAGACAATGTCCACATTCAACTGTTGACAGTGTGCCCTTTGAAGGCCATCCTGGTGTATCAGAAGCTGGCAGCCATGCCGCCAGGGGCCTTGGTATCCCCAGGCAGCCTCCCTAGTGGAGTTCACAACATCCATTCTCAGAACCTCAGCTCTAGCGGGTGGGAGCCAGGTCATGCTTGTCTTGTTTTCATGGTACCTCAGGCTGGCCCAGGTTAGAGAGGGAAGTGCTTAGGAGTGTTCCGACCGTAAGTGGTCATGGTGTCTTGGACAGAGACTCCAGGAGGAGGCGAGCTGGGTGACAGCCAGCGATTTTCCACGGTGGACATGGCAGTGCTGGGCGGGGTGCTAGGTGCCCTCTTGTTGCTGGCTCTCATCTGCCTGGTCATCCTCATACATAAGCACTACCGTCACCGGTTCAATTGTTGCTCCGGCAAGGCTTCGGTAAGGACCTCGGTGGGGTACTGGGCTAGTCAGAGTAGAAAGGGGACTAACCCAGGGCTGAGGAGTCGCAGAGAAGGGACATGGAGGGAGGGATGAATGGGAACAGCTGGGGAGAGCAGCGGAGGCAGGCTGAGATGGCTGTGCGGACGGACGCTAGCGGGAGGCGGGGGCAGAGGAAGGGTGGGAGCCCAGTGGTGGGAGGAGGGTCCTGGCGGGAGTAACAACACTGCTTGCTGCTTATGCCTCTGCTCTTGCTGCGCCTGTAGGAGCCGCCGCCGCCGCCGAATGACTATGACAACGTGACCTTCCTCCCAGACCACAAGGCCAGCTGGTCGTCCACCTCCAACCCGCAGCCACAGTCAGGCCCCGAGCCCGCCCAGCCGCCCTCTGGGTCCCATAGCCCCACGTTCTCCAGACCCACGCCCCCCAGCTCAGCACCTCCTAGCCCCAAGCTCAGAGCCTCCGAGTCTCCTAAGACCGTCCAGGCCGGAGACAGTCCTTCAGCCGTGAGGTCTATCCTGACTAAGGAGCGGCGGCCAGAGGGGGAGGGCGGCTACAAAGCCGTTTGGTTCGGCAAGGACATCAGGGAGGAGGCTGACGTGGTGGTCCTCAACGAGCCCACAGCAGACATGGACAGCGCCAGTGCCTCGGGAAGTGAGGGTAGCGATGATGATGATGATGATGATGATGACCCTGGCCTGAAGAAGGGTCTTCACTTCGGCGCCGATGACGACAGCACTTACATCTAGCGCAGCAACCCCACCCTCCTCCCCAAGACACTCCCTATTCCTCTGCAAATTAAAGTAGCACTTTCGAATTCCTGAGTCTTAAGGCGGGTGTGCGGGAGCGGGTGCCAGGGAAGGTCGTTCAACAAAGCCCAATCGCTCATGCCTCCTCTTTTTGAGCCGCGTTGTCTGGTCCCTGCCCTCCACCACTCTCATCCCCGGCTCCCTCTGCTCCCCCACTCCATCCCTCTGTCCCCTTTTCTCCACTCCAAGCGCGGAAAGGAGGGAGCGCTCGGGGTAAAACGCCTGCTGTGAGCGCCCAGCTGCTGGCTTCCGGATGCCCGGTCCCCTCTCCCTCCGCCCTTCACACACACACACCGAAAGCTCCGCTCCACGGTAGCCCGCCGGGAAGAGGGAAGCCAGCGCTTGACCCAATGTCGACCGCTTTGCTTGCGCGAAGTGAAAGAACCACAACCGCCCACGCTACATGTACGTTCATTTGGGAGAGGGTAGTCTCTGGGACCTTCCTGAGGGCCACAGCCTGGTTCAGAAGTCTGGCCCGGCATGGTAGGGCACACATTTAATCCCAGCATTTGGAAAGCAGAGGTAGGCGGATGTCTGTGAATCTGAGGCCAACCCTGTCTATGGAGTTTCAGGACAGCCAAGGCTATGTAGAGAAACCCTTTCTCAACCCTGTCTCGAAAAACAAAAACAACAAACAAACATAAAATAAAAAACAAAAACAAAAAAGACACAAACAAAAAGGCTGTTCGGGCAGTGAACAGTGCCCTCTGCCCCACACAGAAACCTTACATGGGAGGAACAGGGGCCTGCAGGTCACCCCCGCAACTTACCCCCGTTGGAAATCTTCTCAACAAGTCACCCCCTACCCTCATATCTTGTGAGCAGCAGCCCTCTGAGTTTAAGTACTTTCTTGACCCAGCTGGAGCAATGACAATTTACCACTGGATAAATGAGACCCCTCATCCGAACGGTTGCCAATAGTGGGGGAGGGGCCATGGGCCCCTCACACGTCCAATCTCATGGAGGTCTTGTGCAGATAACCACAGCTGCAGTGAGTTCACCACGGGTGCAAAGGCATGTCAGGCTCAGAAGACTTTTTTTTTTTTTCTGCACATCTCTCCATCCTCTGGCTCTTCCTACTTTTGGGAGATGTCCCCTGAGCCTTGGAGGGAGTGATAGAGAGGTCCCTCTCATTCAGAGTGAACACTCCACCATTACTTATCCTCTGTTCTTGGGCCAGTTACAGGTTCTGCTCCTTGCAATTAGAAGCTTCTCTAACAAAGGCTGGAGGCAACACTAATCTGTGGTTGTATTTTCACATTTTGAGACAGGGTCTTACTCTTTAACCCAGAAGAACTGGTCCTTCTGACTCGGCCTCTCCAGAGATGGTATTACAAATACTGGCTTTGGAATATTCTTCGTGAGTGTGTGTGTGTGTGTTTCGAGACAGGGTTTCACTATGTAGCCTTGGCTGTCCTAGAACTCACTCTGTAGATCAGACTGGCCCTGATCTCACAGAGATCAGCCTGCCTTACTGAGTGCTGGAACTAAAGGTCTGCGCTTCCCCCCCCCCGCTGGAATAGTCTTTATTTGTACCATTTTCAGTGTGAAGCCAAACTGTGTCACAGCCTCTTTAGCCTACACTTCCCACTGCTTTCCTGAGAGCTAAAGAAAACAAACAAAAGTTGCTGACTTGGTTTGGAACGGTTGTGGGTACCCCTGCCTTCTCCTGCTGTGTTTTCCTGAGGAGGTGTGGAGGGAGCCCGGCAAGTAGACTAGGCTGCTACTCCCACTGTCCCTCTGAGGCTTGTCACTCCCAGAGTGGAGTGCCACCGCCACATGACACCCCAGAGGCGTCCGGAGCCCTTAAGCCACACCCTGTTTCCCATCGTCCCGCCCCCGAGCCGGGTCCTATAAAAGCACTGGCTGTCTCCTTCTCACTGAGAGAAAACCGTCCCGGCGGCTCCGGCACCAGGTATGAGGGACCCTTAGCCCATGCGGGGAGGGAGCGAGCTAGTGCCACACGGGGAAATTCTTGTCCCCTCCACGGAGTAGCGAGCGATCGGGGAAGGGCAGTACAGAGAGATCGGGGACACCGGAGGGCAGAGGGTCCGGCAGGATCTGCGATCGGAAGATCTGCAGGTGGGGTTGGGATCTGGTAGGGGTTCGGTGGGGGCCGAGGACTGTGCCCGTAGCCCCTGGAACAGAGGGAAGCCCGCAGCTGCCCACAGGCTGTTTAGGTTTCATTTTCCTGGGTTGCAGTTTCGCTTTACTCGCCTGGGCCCCGCCCCCTTTTCCCATCGTGTCTTTGCAGGGTCCAGCCTGCGACAGCCCATCCAGGCTTGGACGCTGGATCAACACCTGTGACTTCACGTGTGCGCTCCCGCTACATCTGTAGTCACATCTATAGCCACCCTGGCCGAGGAATCCACACTTAGGTTCGGAACCTAGGTGGCTACAAGTTCTCAAACCTCATCTGTGACCCTCAACACCCTACACCTGGGTCACATTTGTGACACTTAAATTCCGACTTGTGACCAACACACATAATCACATTTGTGACACTTGGCCACACTATCCGTGGCTACAACCTGAAACATCAGTGACACCCGAGGGATTCTTACCTCATTTGTAATACCTGACTGCTCCAGTGATTACAACTTGTCACGGAGTAGGACCACTCTGATTCTCCCAGACTGTCCTTGTAGGAGCAATGGCCACAGAGAGGTGAGAACATGCCCACCCTGCTTGTGTTGGGTCCTGTATGCCTTGTATTTGGCCCTGATCCTAGCGTTGCTGCCCTGCTTGCAGGGGCCCCCAGCGCATGCTGTTCGGAGAGTGGCTACTGGGTGAGGTCAGTAGCGGCCAGTATGAGGGCCTTCGGTGGCTGGACGAGGCTCACACAGTCTTCCGTGTGCCCTGGAAGCATTTCGGGCGCAGGGATCTGGACGAAGCTGATGCACGTATCTTCAAGGTGGTACCCAGTCCTGCCCTCTGTAGAATCTGCTCTGTCTTGGTGGCTTCACGGTTGGGTTTGTGGTTTTTTAAACTGTTTGGAAAAAGGCTGATTGTAGGCCCAGTGGCTCTCTTTCCAAGGTGCGGTGAGTGGGTGTGTGGGCGGGTGGCACATTTCCTCCTAAGTTAGAGCTTTGGGCTGAGTAAGATGCCTGGCGGTTTGGGAACAAAGGGGAAGAAAACTTTTGGAACTACTCAAGCATCATAACCAGAACTCCTGGGGAGTCCATCCTCAACCCATGTTCTCTGTCCTCTCCTTCAGGCCTGGGCTGTGGCCCGAGGGAGGTGGCCACCTAGCGGAGGTAACCCGCCATCCCCAGAGGCCGAGGCTGCTGAGCGAGCAGGCTGGAAAACCAACTTCCGCTGTGCACTCCACAGCACGGGGCGCTTTATCTTGCGTCAAGACAATTCCGGGGACCCCGCTGACCCGCACAAGGTGTATGAACTTAGCCTGGAGCTTGGATCTACTGGTGAGGAATGCCACAGATAGGGATGGGCTGGGGAGGTACATGGACTGCTGTGTCTTGGTGGCTTCATGGTTGGATTTGTGGTTTTTAAAACTGGTGGGAAAAAGGCTGATTGTAGGCCCAGTGGCTTGCTTTCCAAGGTGTGGGAGGGCAGGTGGCACATTTCCGAAGTCAGAGCCTTGGGCTGAGTGAGACGCCTGGTGGTTTGGGGACAAAGGGTACTGGGAAGAAAACTTTTGAACTGCTCAAGCATCATAACCAGGTTGCAGGTCAGTCTCAGATCCAAATCCCCACTCCTCTCTCCTTCAGAAGGCCGGGCCGTGGAAAATAGGGAAGTGACCCTCAGCAACACCATACCCACACAGGTATAATCTAGTTTGCCCCTTCTAGGTGTGGGGGATGGGCAACTGCCTACCACTGAACTTTCTCTTGCAGGGTGTGTCCCTAGGACCACTCTCCACAAGAGGAAATGCTGGGCTCCAAACCCCAAGCCTTCCACTTTCTGGGGATACTGGGGCGCTTTCTGGTGATACCAAGGACCTCTTGCTTCAGGTTTTGGAGTACAGTCTCCTGGAGGACCTACTGGAACATGAGTCTGGGGCAAACTCAGTCCCATCACAGGAGCCTGGTGAGAGGCAGGAAGAACTGTTCCTGAGCTGGGGCTAAACTAGAGACCCCTCACCTGCCCGAGGCTGTGTGGGGGGACAACAGAACCCTAGAGGAGAGGAGGAAAGATAAGGGTGCCAGGGTGCCAGGGGTGGGCGGGAAGCTAGCACACCATGAAGGGCAGTATCAACAGGCAGTTTCAACTCGTCCTCAGGCGGGAAGCAAGACCATGCTTCTGAGGAGCAACATGCAGCAGGGCAGGTGGAAGCTGTCCCCAGCCCCAGGCTTCAACACCCAGCTCTAATGACTGGTGAGGACCTGGGGACCTGTTGGTGTGGGCTAGAGCTGTGGGGCTAGCACAGGTCTCCCCCGGGACACACCTATTCTCCCAGGCAGAACACTGTGGACCACTCACCCCTCACATCTGTACCTCAGTGGGAGGGGAATGGGTCCTGGGGTGTGGAACAAAGTGCCCCCCATACCTACCACTCAGCCTTGGTCTGTACACAGAGAGCAATCTAGGGTTCCTGGACGTGACCATCATGTACAAGGGCCGCACAGTGCTACAGGCAATGGTGGGGTACCCCAGCTGCGTGTTCCTGTATAGCCCCATGAACTCGGCGGCGATAAACCCGGCACCCCAGCCAGTGATTTTTCCCAGCCCCGCTGAACTACCAGATCAGAAGCAGCTGCGTTACACAGAGACACTTCTGCAGCATGTGTCTCCAGGCCTTCAGCTGGAGCTGCGGGGGCCTTCACTGTGGGCCCTTCGCATGGGCAAGTGCAAGGTGTACTGGGAGGTGGGCAGCCCCATGGGCTCCACCACCCCCTCCACCCCAGCCCAGCTGTTGGAGCGCAACTGCCATACCCCAATCTTCGACTTCAGCACTTTCTTCAGAGGTCAGTGAAGTGCCTGTCTGGGGTGCTGTCCTTGTGGGTCCCCGGAGCCTTTCTTAACCTGCTCATCAGAGCTACCTCCTAACAGAGCTGGAAGAGTTTCGGGCCCGGAAGCGGCAAGGATCACCACACTACACCATCTACCTGGGATTTGGGCAAGACTTGTCGGCAGGGAGGCCCAAGGAGAAGAGCCTAATTCTGGTGAAGGTAGAGCCCGGGTTGGCAAGCAAAGGTGGGTGTGGGCTGCTGGTGGAGCCCTAACAGATGTCCTTCCACAGCTGGAGCCATGGCTATGCAAAGCATACTTGGAAGGTGTGCAGCGTGAGGGTGTGTCCTCCCTGGACAGCAGCAGTCTTGGCCTGTGCCTGTCCAGCACCAACAGTCTCTACGATGACATTGAACACTTCCTCATGGAGATGGGTCAGTGGACCTAGCCCAGAGCGGCAACTCCCAATAAAGGGTCGAGAACCAGTGCCGTCTGAGTCAGGTTTACTCCCTAGCTGCATGTCACCTCTTTACCGGACCTGGTGGGGCCCCATGAAAGCTGACGCCCACCCCTGCACACTAAGCCTCCTCTGCAGCACTCATCTTTACAGTGAAGAAGATCTGGCTTGAGCCATCGCACCCCTTACTGGATACCAAGGCTCTAAG